TGTTGCTGGAAAGCCAGTTGCAAACCTTGTGTTTGCAACTCTACCTTTCTGTTTCAGGTCAGAGAGTCTGTGATCAATTGCCCTCCCTTTAGTGGTCTGGGCCTATGGGCTGTTCCAAGCCCAGCCGGGGAGAGGTGTTAGCTGTTCAACAGCTGGAGCAAGAAGAGGAAGTTCTGTGGAAGGGAGCAGATCTTGTACAGATGCCTGTGACATCACAGAGTCACATGTCACAGGCTACTTAAGGAGGTCTTACCTTTAGTTAACACTCATATATTAGATATGATCAATATATCCTTATTAACAGGCTATGTACCACAGTCTTTTAAGGTAGCTGTAATTAAACCTCTACTAAAAAAGCCCACCCTGGATCCAGAGGTGTTAGCCAACTATAGACCAATATCTAATCTTCCCTTTATGTCAAAGATCCTTGAGAAAGTAGTCGCAGACCAGCTGTGTGATTTTCTCCAGGATAATAATTTATTTGAGGAATTTCAGTCAGGATTTAGAGTGCATCATAGCACTGAGACAGCTCTAGTTAAAATTACAAATGACCTTCTGATTGCTTCAGACAAAGGACTCGTCTCTGTTCTTGTTTTATTAGATCTTAGTGCGGCGTTTGACACAATTGACCATCAAATTCTACTGCAGAGACTGGATCACTTAATTGGCCTAAAAGGTTCAGCACTAAGCTGGTTTAAATCTTATTTATCTGATCGTTTTCAATTTGTTGACGTTCGTAATGAATCATCCTTACGTACCAAAGTTTGTTTTGGAGTTCCGCAAGGTTCTGTGCTCGGACCAATCCTATTTACTCTATATATGCTTCCTTTAGGTAACATCATTAGAAATCACTCTATAAATTTCCATTGTTATGCGGATGATACACAGTTGTATTTATCGATGAAGCCAGAAGAAAGTAATCAATTAACTAAACTCCATAACTGCCTTAAAGACATAAAAAATTGGATGAGCACCAATTTCCTGATGTTAAATTCAGACAAAACTGAAGTTATTGTTCTTGGCCCCAAACAACTCAGAGACTCTTTATCTGATGACATAGTTTCTCTAGATGGCATTGCTCTGGCCTCTAGCACTACCGTAAGAAACCTCGGAGTAATATTTGATCAAGATTTGTCTTTTAATTCTCATTTAAAGCAAACCTCACGGACTGCATTTTTTCATCTGCGTAATATTGCGAAAATTAGGCCTATCCTGACCCGAAAAGATGCAGAAAAATTGGTCCACGCTTTTGTTACCTCAAGGCTGGATTACTGTAACTCTCTATTATCAGGTAGCTCTAGTAAGTCCTTAAAAACTCTCCAGCTAATTCAGAATGCAGCAGCACGTGTACTAACAGGAACTAAGAAACGAGATCATATTTCTCCTGTTTTAGCTTCTCTGCACTGGCTCCCTGTAAAATCCAGAATTGAATTTAAAATCCTACTGTTAACTTATAAAGCTCTAAATGGTCAAGCTCCGTCATATCTTAGAGAGCTCATAGTGCCATATTATCCCACCAGAACACTGCGCTCTGAGAACGCAGGGTTACTCGTGGTCCCTAAAGTCTCCAAAAGTAGATCAGGAGCCAGAGCCTTCAGCTATCAGGCTCCTCTCCTGTGGAATCATCTTCCTGTTACGGTCCGGGAGGCAGACACCGTCTCCACATTTAAGACTAGACTTAAGACTTTCCTCTTTGATAAAGCTTATAGTTAGGGCTGGCTCAGGCTTGCCCTGTACCAGCCCCTAGTTAGGCTGACTTAGGCCTAGTCTGCCGGAGGACCCCCCTATAATACACCGGGCACCTTCTCTCTCTCTCTCTCTCTCTCTCTCTCTCTCTCTCTCGTATTCTATTACTGCATCTTGCTAACTCGGCCATTCTGGATGTCACTAACTCGGCTTCTTCTCCGGAGCCTTTGTGCTCCACTGTCTCTCAGATTAACTCATATCACAGCGGTGCCTGGACAGCGTGACGTGTGTGGTTGTGCTGCTGCCGTGGTCCTGCCAGATGCCTCCTGCTGCTGCTGCCATCATTAGTCATTAGTCATACTTCTACTGTTATTATACACATATGACTATTGTCACACATGTATACTGCCAGATATTAATACATACTTTCAACATATTGTACCACAGTAGCCAGAACTATAACTATAATATTATTACTTTCATTAATGTTGTTGTAAGCTACTGTCATTACCGTCTGTCCTGCATCTCTCTCTCTCTCTCTCTCTCTCTCTCTCTTTCTGTCTCATTGTGTCATACGGATTACTGTTAATTTATTATGCTGATCTGCTCTGTACAACATCTATTGCACGTCTGTCCGTCCTGGAAGAGGGATCCCTCCTCAGTTGCTCTTCCTGAGGTTTCTACCGTTTTTTTTCCCCCGTTAAAGGGTTTTTTTTTGGGAGTTTTTCCTTATCCACTGTGAGGGTCCAAAGGACAGAGGGATGTTGTATGCTGTAAAGCTCTGTGAGGCAAATTGTGATTTGTGATATTGGGCTTTATAAATAAAATTGATTGATTGATTGATGTCACTGTAAAAGGTCTTGTCCAATCAAGTTTTGGGACTTGAGTCTCACTGAGGTGTGAGGTGAAATCTTCTGTGGAGATGGGTGTCACAGAGCTGTCTTTGTTTGGTGAACAAAGAGCATGCAGAGGAAAAAGCTTTTAAATCTCCAGTTATGATTCTACCAAATGAAAAATAATCTGTGGTCCTGTGAATCCCAACAATCTTAACTTGCCGTTCAATGAATGACACCAAATCTTTAAAGCAAGCTCTGCGGTTATACCTCTGCAAAACTTCATGTGCTGTTGTCCTCCATTTTTCCTCTGAATTTAAATGCCAACTTTGTCATTATTGCTCGCATGTTGGTTGGCATATCTAGCTCTTGCATATAGTGAAGCTCCTCCATCACATTGCAACAACCACGCAAAAACAGAGAAAAGGCCTGTAGTGATTTCACATCCTCTGACTTCACTGTAGGCTAAGCCAGGGCCTTCTCAATATAAGCTGCAGCAATCCTGTATTCATTACCAAAATGTTCATGCAGAAGTTCTTTAGCCAGTTGATAACCTCTGTCAGGAACCATGTGCTGGCAGCTCCTCACCAACTCTCTGGGTTGACCCTTCGTAAACTGTTCCAGAAAATAAAGACAGTCAGCTTTGTTAGCTTTTGATTCCACTCCATGCTCAAAAGCTCTGATTAAGTTTCTGTACAAGAGAGGATCACCATTAAATACTGTAATGTCTTGAGATGGTAATGATAATAAGCACTGTTGTTGAACAAGAGCTGCTGTTATTTCATTCTGTCGATGCATTATGGTGCACAGATCTCCTTGCATTTGGACAGAATGTACGTGTGGTTGCTCAACTGGTGCATGCTGCTCATTTTTGGTTGGCACATGAAGTGTTTCATTTTGTGTGTGTCCATATTGTGTGGTTCCATACGTCTCCGTTTTCCTCCACTGTACGTTCATGTCCTTATGAGGTATTGAAACATTGCTTTGTGCCGTTGCACTTTGTGTCCAGGGCTCATATGACTTTGCTGCAGGATTGAGTTCTTTGAAAATGGCTCTAACAGTACTAATGGAATCATTAATTATTGTCCCTTTTTTTGGTCACCTTTCTGTTGGAGTGCCTAGCACACAGATCTGGGAATAAAGAGTGAAGCTAAAAACACTGCAGTCCATGTATTTGTCAGTATAGGACAGTCACTCTTGCTCAAGGCTGAGCTGTGGCTGGTTTTGAAGCTAATGTAACCACTGTTCATACTGTGGTGTACAAGTTGTACATATATTAATAAACTATAAAATGAATTGATGTTTTGCTGCCTCTAGCAGCAGCTGTAGACTGAGAAAAAACAACTTAATTCACTGGGCAGACTTTTAAGGTGAAATGTTACCTTGTAAAGTTACTCAATGTATGAGTTGATGATGTGAATCTATCAGCACACTATTTAATTATGACAAGTTTGACCATTCCATTAGTTTTTATTGTCTCTCTTGGATGACAGACACGTTTAGTAATGAGTAAATCTTCAAGGATTTAGAAATACATATGAATTTTGACCAGATTATGTGAGTTGCATATATTCTAATCCTCATTTGGAGAAAAAAAAAGCATAGCGGAGCATCGTTCCTGTGGGCTCCAGCAACACTAAACCCCTGAGCTCGCCAAAGAAGAACTAAATGCACAAACCCACTGTTTTTAAATATCCCATGGAGAGAGACTCTCACTGCAACCTGTTCAATTTTGTTCTGAAAATGTCAGCATGCAATCATGTTCTGTGGACAATAAATGAGGTGCAGACTTCCCTCTATGTGGAAATACAAGAAGTGCTGGACGGAGCAATGAGTGGCAACAATCCCACCAACATTTAAGAGTACTGTTTGCAGTGGAAACGCTAAACAGACCTAGGATCTAGGTAACATGTCTGAAGGGTTATGTTTCATTCCAAGTACCATACCAAAAGTTTGGTGGAGACAGGGCTTATGTATTTCTAAATGTTCTTTTCTATTGGGGTTGCCATACATAAAGAAAAACTAAATCATAACCAAACATCAAGTGCAACATTTAGAATAAAACAAGGATAAATACAATAAAACCAATCACTATAAAGTGATGCTGTAGTTTAAAAATTTTGGTAACCCCCGCTATAGTAAGTATTTCTTGCAGCAGAATGGTGTATGTTTGAATCACTGATGTGTTTATTAATACATTTTAGACAATATTGGAGTTCAAAGGAATAATATATATAAGGTTTTGATTATACAGGCAATAGATTTTGGCGAAAGACTTATCCTTTAACATGGTTATACATATAGATGTAAGGAGAGTACCATGTTTACTAACACTGCGTTCTGTCAGCTGATTTGATATTTCAGAATTGAAGTTTAAAAAATTCAGTTAATACCTCACTTTCCTGCAGCACCCAAAGAACAGTTTGTGCAGAAAATAAATAGTAAATAGTCCTGTGTCTTCCCTGAGGGAAGCTGACTCACATTTTCTGTGACCTGGCAGCTGCTCCTCCACCTTGTAAATGGAGACTCGACCCACACCTCCACAGGGAGACCCCCTCTCACCCCGACACATCAGACTACAATCCTCCTCTTGAGCCCGTGGGCTACTGATCCGGTTCCCGCAGTGGCATTCAGCTCCATACTCCAGACCTGCATACTGGTACCCACTAGCACCACACGCATGCACGCACGCACACAGACACAGAGAGAAACACAGTTAATGCCTTAGCAAAAGGCTATGCATAACGTCAAACTTTTGCCATTCCACAGGACATTAGTTAACATTGTAAACGTATCATTTAACTCAAACTTCCCAGCATTAAATCTACAGTGTGGTCCATCCCCTGTGCATTTTCCTCTGTACTCATCTGACTTTTAATGCCTTCTTCTAGCTTAATTGCAGCCACCTGTGATCTGTATTGTACATATCAAGCCTGTTATGACTCATCTTCTCTCTTCATCCTCACTCCTTGGGAAAGCCAGACACTTCATCAAAATTGACCTTTTCATATATGTACTTTGAAGCTTCTTCATAAATTGCCTTGACTTTTTACTTTTACTCATCATGGTAATTGGCTCACTCAGGTAACAAGCATGACTGCTTTCTGTGTGGTTCGGGGATTGGGGAGGGGAGCTTAGTGGGCTTCAGGTATAAGCACCAACTCCATCTGACTGTATCTATCTGTCCTCTGTTGTTTTGTTAAATTGCAGCTACACTGCTTCCTCGCTGCTAAGATATTAAGAGGAATAATTTAAGCGGGTCATTCCTTAAGTTTGCTTGGAAAAATCCACTTGCCACCCCATATTTCCTTGAAGTTTTGGATGGTCATAAACCACCACAAGTTAAGCTCACACTGACCCAGAGAAATGTCAGCCACAGGAAAGCACTCTCTAACCTCTGATTTATTCACTGATTGCACTAACCTCATTCAGCTTTCTAACACATACACACCTCCCTCCTGCCTTCTTCTGCAATAGATCAAGCCTTCTGTCCTGGCCTGGTGTTCACTCTCCCCTCTCTAACCCCCCTCATCTTTTACTGTCATCCAGCCACCTGGCTCTCCATTGGCTCCAAACACAGGAGGCATTCATGGAGACTGAGATCCAAAGCATTTTCTCAAACAGCAGGCCTTCTGTGGTCCCTTCACAAGAGCCCCCCACAAATGCATTACCTTTCTGAGCAGGTGTCTTGACACAGAGAACTGGTCATTTTGCGCAGGTCATAAAGCATGGTTCCTCCGAGGGCTCGATCACTGGCATTGTGCAGAAAGCAACCCATGTAGGTTCCTGAATGTGAGAGAAAACCATTAAGACTGAAAGATTCCTTGTAAAGCCACTCAGCAAGTTCCCTCACAATAGAAAAGTGTACATTTGTAAAGCGTGTTTGTGTTACAAAGACATTCTGTGCTGAAATAAACAGTCAATTGATTAGTCAGTCAACAAAATGACAAAATTGGTTTGATATTGCTGCTGATTCTTTTCTTTATGTATCAATGTGTGTTTTTTTTCCATCCTGTGTATTTTTTAGATTCGTAGGTCTTTTTATAATGTCTGTAATGTCTTGCACGTGTAAATGTTATGTTGAGCCCTGTCAAAGAGGAATTTCTGGTACCATTTGGTTCAGACAATAAAGTATCAATCTATCAATCAATCTATCTATCTATCTATCTATCTATCAAAAAGATTAGTTGACTGCGATTTGGTCATCAGTTACATCATTTAAATCATGTGTCAAAAAAAGGATCATTTCTGGCTTCTCAGATGTGAGGTGCTGCTCCTTATCCTTAGTTTTATAGGAGTAGTACAGTGCCTGTTCAAAGTATGCCTGTTTGAACTGATGATGTCAGTTCTTGACGTCAGTTTTTGATGTTGTCATCATCAGAGACATCCTGTGGTGTTGGCATTCCACTGCACAGAGCCACAGGGCACTGTTTGCTTGTTTGTTCAAAGTTTATTAATATCAAACATGTTGTGTATCTAAATCATACCATATTTGACACTGCATTTCCTAGGGTCCCCCTAAAGGACAGGGTCACAAGGAATGAAATGAGAACCACACCTTCTAAACTGTCAAAATAATAATAAAAAAAAGTTCATGGCTTTAGTGCTTGGCACCTGATTTGTATGCCTCAAGGTAAGACTCTCACAGCGTCTTGAAGCGTTTTGATTAATGTAATTGGCTTATACAACCATATGTCACACTCGGAACTGTTAGTTGGTCTGATGAGGTTGAGCTGTTTTGATTTAGTTAATGCTAGCCACCACAATTTGGACTTAACTTTGTTGATGTGTTAAGGTGTCAACTTTATTTCTACAGAGTATTACGTTAGCTTGCGTACTTTTTCCCAAATTACAGATTGTAGCCTATAACATTATTGATGTTAGTGCTCTGGGACTACTCAAGTAACATCACCAAGGTTACTACAACTAACTTAACATTAATGTTAGCCCCTGATGGTTTCATTTTTCAATGCTAAGATTATATTAGCAAGGTTAATACTGTCATGGCCACAGGGCCGCCCCTCGCTAAACGCAGAACACTCGCTGTGCATAGGGCCTCATCTTCTATGGAGGGCCACATTTTGCATGAGGGGACGCATATGCGCAATGGCTGCGCATATGTGCTACCGCAAGGCGCGCAAAGAATCAGCTCGAGGAAGCAGAGAAGAGACCTGTAATCTGACCGCATCGCTGCAATGATTGACAGCACTCGATATCTGACCAATCAGAGGGGTGCACCGGCAGGCACTTGCAGAGCTGCAGCAGGTGAAGAGTTGTTGACATGTCGTCCAAAAGACAACACGAGTCAGGAGCGAGCAAGAGGAAAAAAAAAGGCAAAACAAGAGGAAGCTCGTGCTTCACTTGAAGGTGGATATGTTGTTGAAATGAAACTTTGTGGCACAAACACCTAAGCTGCTACTCATTAGATAGGAATCTCTGTCTCCAGTCTCTCCAGTCTCTGTCTAGACTGAGACTTTTTCCAGCGGCCCTGAATAACATTTATTGAATGTCTTGTTTATGCCCTATACATTCACCTCTGATGAAAAGGAGTGGTAAAATGACCGGTTGGTGGTCGTATATATTGATAGGCTATAAACTTTAGCCAATATATAATATTGGCTAAAGTTTATAGCCTATCAATTTATGTTGTCCAAATAAAATTTAGCTTAGGGCCCCAATTTGGTCAGGGGCAGCCCTGCATGGCCAGGATGTAATTAAATAATATATAGGGCAGTCAAAATAACAATTGGTATTAATCACAGACAAACATCACAGAAAAAATAACATGTTAGAAAATTAACACTCATTAATGCCGTTCGTGCCCTGAGACCCATTACGTCATTTAAGGCCACAGTGGCCTTGTCACATGATGGAAGCTGCTTGGCTCCATGAATGGAATGTATATATTTAAAAAACACTGGTATGTAACTGTTGATAGGAGCACTGTTCCATACCATCAGAGTACTGCGACAAGGCTGCCAACTCACGCACTGGCCGTGAGACACACACATTTGATTGGCTTCACACGCTCTCACGCCACACCCTGATTTCTCATGCTGAAGTGTCCATCTGAGCCAAAAAAAAAAAAAAACAAAAAACTGTTTTGCACAATACACCTCCCGACTGTTATACTGGATGTTGGCGGCGCTGTGGCCCAGTTGACACCGGAATTGCACTCATTGGGGTAACGAAGAAGCGAGTGTACGGCTTGCCAGAATTCTATTAGAAGAAGAAGAAGAGGCGGCAGAGAGTGTTTATGCTCTTAAACTTTAAGTAACGTTTGCATATTTGTTTTTTGTGTGTTGTGAGATAATTTAAAGGCATTTCGAGAGCTTTATAAATATTATTTTGATTATCTATATATAATACAAAACCATTCCTCCATGCTGCTTTATAATTGTATATGAATTACTGTATATATTGTAGTATATACAAATTAGAATAATTTGTTATGTAGTCTATGTATAAAGCATCATATACAGTAGGTGCATGCATTTTGTTTCAGACAAAATTAATTATCAACCTTTACTCATCTTTCAAAGGAATATAACAGATTTTTTTTCCACTGTGTTCTTGGTTCATTCCTCATAGGTGACAGGGTTAGGTCTGTTGATGAGGCTTGCCACCATTGCAAAGCTGGTCCTGGTGTTACCTTACTCCATTGCAGATGCAGAAAGAATGTTTTCTGTGGTGGGACTAAACAAGACTAAAACCAGGAACAGCCTGGCTCTGGATGGAACCCTGTCATCAATAATGACAATAAAGATGGCTCGCCTGGAGCCCTGCTTCACGTGGGAGCCTTCCCCAGAAATCATTAAGGCCTCAAAAAAGGCCACAAGCAAGTACAACAAAGCACACAGATCTTAAGGACTTTGATAGTAGCCTCCCTATATTGGGAATTGTTTGTATAAATGGTTAAACTTTAATTTTATTGTATTTTTTATTTAAATTGGTATTAGCTGCATATAGTTTGGGGGTGTTCAAAAATGTCTCAATAACATAGCTTTTGGGGGGTTTCATTTTTATTTAAATGTTTCTTGCAACATGTTGCATATCTGTTTACTATTTGATGACATTATTTTTTATACAGAATCCCAAAGTAAACATGTACAAAATGAGCCATGCTGTGTCCTGTGTCTTACTTTTGGGTCAGTTGGTTCTATTTGTACACTCTGAGTTAGGCTAATACATTGAGAACTACTGATGTATGGTAAATGGTATATTTAAAAAAATGTTTTTGCTGTATGGTAATGATGCTGAATGGGCCAAACAAAAAATTGCAGTGTATGCGGCAAAATTTCAGTTGGCCCCACCAAATCTCACTCCAAGGTTTTTTGAAAAGTTGGCAGCCCTGCTGCGAGCCTGAAATGTCACCTCACCACTAAGCATTTAGCAGCAAACCAGAGCGAGCACGGTCTCTGATGCTAGTGCTAGCAGCCAGCCTCATCAGGCCACATTCAACCAGGCATTCAGACACAAACTGAGTAAATCTACCTGTGACAAACTAACTAGCCCACTTTCAAAAGGGACTGCAGACCAGTTTCAGTGGTAGAGCAAGGAGACAATTGTGTCCAAAATCCAGCAGCTTTACTACGACACATCTATCAAAATTTGCTTGAGTTTGAATCTTTACTTTCACAGCAAAAGTTCATGTATGCGTTTAATTTACACAAATTAATCACAGAGCATGTAATTAATTATATATCTCTTGACAGCCCTAATAATATACTTATATACATTTAGTTAACACACACACACACACACACACACGCACTCAAAGAAGAGGTTCTTTCCTTACATGACAAAATTGTGTGAATAAGTTGAAGAATAAGTTTTAAGTTTTAATTAAAGCTGCAAGCAGCTGTGATCGGGCCCTCGCTCTCCTGTGCCACTGGCCGGGGCCAGCAGCACACATCACTGAAGCGGTTATGTGAAAACCCAGAGTAAATTAACCCCGACGTGGTATGACGTTTCATCTTCCTACACCAAAAAATCCCCTATGGGGAGGGGTTTTTGAAAATTTCAAGGGGGCACTATAGAGGCATTTTGTCCCCCCCTCCCATGGGCGACACCTCTTTCAGACGTAAGAGCTCGCCATTCTTGACCTGTGTATCAATTTTCATGAGGATATGAGCTCGCTGAAGCCATCAAACATATTTGCTGGCGAGGGCGGCGTCATAGCGGCCACACCCCTTGACATAGAGAAAAGCTTTTAATAACTTTTGATCAGCATGTTCTCAGGATGATCTGTACCAAATTTGAAGTAGATCGGATGAAATCCCTAGGAGGAGTTCTTTCAAACATGTCAAAAATTCAAATCAAAATGGCCGACTTCCTGTGGGGTTTACGGCATGGGTCCAAGAGGATTTTTTTGTGCGGCATGTTCTATGAGCCCACCAATTTTCACGCGTATAGGTGAAACTCACAGGCGGGGCTCGAGGCACAAAATTTTCTAGGGGGCGCTATGTCACCATTTGGCCCCATCCACATACAACACTGCCAAAATATCAAATTTTTCGCCAGACCAAACGCGTGTGCCAAATTTGGTGCGTTTTTGAATTTGGGAAAGGGGCCAAATTGGGGATTGCATTCTCGTAATAATAATAATAATAATAATAATAATAATAATTAAAGCTGCAAGCAGCTGTGATTGGGCCCCCTTGACACAGAGAAAAGCTTTTAATAACTTTTGATCAGCATGTTCTCAGGATGACCTGTAGTCAATCTGACGTCGATCGGATGAAATCCCTAGGAGTAGTTCGCTCAAATTTAAATTGTGGAAATAG